CTCGCCCAAAGCGTCCTGAGTGCAATGCCGTATTTTATGATGCAATCAATGTACATTCCCAAAGGGGTTTGCGATACTATTGAGAAAAAAGTTCGCTCTTTCATTTGGGGAGAAGGCGCACACCTAGTCAACTGGGACTTAGTCACCTTGCCCAAGAAACGTGGTGGGCTAGGAATTAGAAGAATTAAAGAAATGAATCTTGCGTTCTTAGCCAAAATTGGTTGGAGGATCCTCACCGAAAACAATAGATTGTGGGCCAAAGCCCTTTACGACAAATACATGCATGCAAAACCGAAGTCCCAGGCTTTTACGTGGAAGACGGGAAGTTCAAACCTTTGGAAAGGCGTGTGTGCGGCAGATAGTATTCTGCGGGAAGGCCTAAGCATACGAGAGAGGAGACAAGCAGAAGAGACTTTCATAGAGGAGCTGTATTGGAAGCTTGATTGCACCGGCAGATGTTCAGTGTCTTCAGCTTACACTATAGCGACGAAAGGAGAGGGTGGGGAGCACAACAGAACTTGGAAAACCATTTGGAAGCTTAAGGTGCCAAGAAAAATCTCTAACGTTCTGTGGATTCTCAAACACAAAAAGTTGATGACGAACTTGGAGAGAAGAAGAAGAGGGTTCACCAGCGATGCGAGATGCCCCCAGTGCGCAAACCATGAGGAGGACATCACTCACTGCATACGCGATTGCACTGAGGCGAATAAAATCTGGGAAGTATTTATACCCCCTGGGGCTAATAGGTGGTTCTTTAATATGAATTATGATGCGTGGCTTGATGTGAACATTGCAGGGAAACTGAAGAATGATGCTGAAGGTGACTGGAACATACTCTTCTCACTAATAGCTTGGTGGTTATGGAAATGGAGATGCAACGCAGTGTTCAGGAACGAACAAAAGGACCTGAATAACAAAGTAGCTTGGATACGGAGCCAACTGACGGAGATACGAAAAGCCTTTGAACGCCACAAGTGTACATCCACAGCGTCGTTGAAAGACAATGATACCACCTGGAGTACACACGGGTGTATAACCCTGCACACGGATGCTTCCTTTGTCTCGGAAAACCTGCCAGCAGGCTGCAGTGGAGTCTTGCGGAACCAGAGGGGCGACTGGATGAGAGGGTTCAGCTGCATGATGAAAGTAAGCAACGCTACAGAAGGGGAACTTTGGGCGATCTACCTCGGCCTGAAATGGGCTTGGGAGATTGGTCAAAGGAGATTCAAGATGGTCACGGACTCCCTACAAACGGTGCGTTGGCTTACTGGAGAGACGGAACCCCTAGGTCACTGTGGGGATTTGGTAAGATGGTGCAAAGATTGGCTCAAGAAAGATTGGATTGTCGTCATCGATCACACTCCTAGAGGGAACAATGCAGTTGCAGACGAGCTAGCCAAAATGGCGCTGAGGAAGCATTGTGACTGGATTGAGATTAATATGTTGCCTAAGTGCATTGCGGAGCTGCTAAGGAGGGACAGGGTGCTCCTCACTGCTGACACCTTCGCTTAGGCTCGCTGGGTTCACCCAGCCCCCTTCATTCCAAAAAAAAAAAATATTGTGTGGATCATGGTCCACACAGTGTTATATGGACTATAATAAAAAGTACATTTTTAATATATTAAATGTACATTATTTTTGTATTGGATGTACATTATACAATATAATGTACACTTAGTACAAAAAATATATATATCTTTTGAATATAATGTACATTATTTTTGTACTAAATATATATTATTTTTGTACTAAATGTATATTATTTTACAGTATACAAAATATGATCCAGATAATAATGATTGTTTAGAGAACATCTGGGCTCATTAGTAGCACAGTGCAGCCCAAGAATTATTCTCTTTTGATTGACCCCAATATCAGCCCATGGTATTACAATTCCGAAGAATAAAACGCATTCACGGCCCAATATCTGTCGTTTTAATAAAACGCGCGTCTTCCCTTAAAAAAAAATCAGGTTCGATTCCCAGCAACAACATATGAACTAAAATTCCATAATCGATGAACTATAATTCCATAATCTAATCTATGAACTAAAAATTCCAGAATGAATGAACTAAAATTCCATAATCTATAAACTAAAATTTCAGAATTGATGAACTACAATTCCATAATCGATGAACTATAATTCCATAATCAATGAACTATAATTCCGTAATCTATGAACTAAAATTCCAGAATGAATGAACAATATAATGTTGTTGCTGGGAATCGAACCTGAATTTTTTTTAAAGGGGAGACGTGCGTTTTTTAATAAAACGACGTCGTTTTGGCATCCGTATGCACCATGCATGGTGCATACGGATGCATAGCATAACGATTGAAAACTCACGGGCAAAAAATAATAAAATCCCAAATGCCAATTTAATGAGTAATATTAAGAGTTTAGCCCAAATTTCATAGCGTTAACATTGGAGCTACATCTATTACGACTATGTTGGAAAATCCATCCTTAATTATCTCGCTTAATTGCCATTATGTCTGATTTGTTTGACCCCATCTCATAGGCCTCTCCATATTTACCTCAAAATATAAGTCAAACATGTGCCTATACTAATAAGAGCAATAAAATAGCTCATATTTACCTATATTTGACTTCTGAGACTTAGCGTACTTGGTTCGTCGCTCGACGGTAATGCAGGGATTTGAATCCCACTGAAAACATGAATGGGAAAAATGAAAAATTAGAATTTGATCGGTTGGCTGATTGTGCGACTCGCGATTTATTTTCGCAGAAACTTTAGAAGAAAAGAGAAAAATCACACATTTGGTCTCTAAGTTATCATTGGTGTTGAACTTTTCCTCCCTTAACTAACAAAACATTTTGGACGAAATTTGCAACTTTAGTATAACTTAGGAAGGAAAATTGAGCATTAAAAGTTAATAAAATGATGAAAAATGCAACGTTAATAATAGCTTAGCATCAATTTTTTAGTAAGTTTGTGATATTTTACGGATATGTTAAAAATTTATGTTATTGACTAAAAATTGAATGAAACCAATCATTACATATATGAGAGCTAGAACTGAACCAGTTTATTTACTTCAAAGGCAATTAATTACTAAAAATATAGTATAGAGTATAAGAGAAGGAAACAAGTTACACCAAAGTCACAAAATTAGGCCAACACTAACTAACAATAGACTAAGTCTCAACAACGTACACTCCCTACTCATCACTTCATCAATCAAATCCAACCCCGACTATCATCACATGATTTACTTGAAATTATTGTGCAAGAATTTATTAGAAAGTGACCTCAAGTACATTTTCCCCCACCAATTAAGATATGTGTATACATCTAAGAATTAAATGAGTGAGTTTTGTATTAAAGTTTTTTAAAACAATTTTAATACTTGGTTGTCATGAATCCGAGCATCACATCTTTGAAGGTTTTGTTTAAGTTCTACACATTATTAATTTAATTTGTAAGGTGATCGCTCATCTTTTGTAAGATGGTTGCATGTCAGTTATATTTCCATTCGTTGTTACGTTGAAAGTACTCGTTACGTCGTTGTTATGTTGAAAGTATTCGTTACGTTGTTTAGAAGTGTTTTATGAGATTCTTGTAATTTGTTGTACGCAATGACAAACTTATCACTTGGTTGTTTGAATAATATTATATACTTAAAGTGTGTCGTTCCCACAAGGAATCGGAATACTGTATTACAATTCATAATTACTTTCTGGGAATAGAGCCAATAAGGGAGTTAACTTGATGCCAAGAATCAAATACTTAATAATAGTAATGAGTTTTGATAAAAGTATTTTACATGTTTGGTAGTAGGATAGAATTGAAATGATTACCAATATTGATGTTTGGTTATGTATGACTTTATAATGAGAATAAACGTCTTAAAAATTAAAAATAAGGCAATGTATAAAGTAGTTTATCATTTTATAACCTTTAATTTTATCGGTTAGGGCAGGGTAGCAAGGTATGTATGAGGAATGGGGAAATTTGAAAGAAGCCAAGGAGGTTATCCATCGCCATCTCAGCTAATAAGGCAACTTATTAATTTAGTGCTATTAGTGAAGCAACACTGCACTTATGACGAAAAGCAACTTATCAGAAATGGAGGGAATTAATTCTCATTTGCTGTAATCTTATTATTATTGCTCCCATCACAATAATTCTCTAGAAAATTCGTCAACCCTATTAATTTGATTTGGACATTATTCTAATTATGCCGCCCAAACTCTGATCTGCTTTAATATAATTCTCTCTTGTTTTTCTTTAATTTGCATGAATGAATAATGCATGCATACCCCTACCTAGCCCGCCGCTACCTACACCCTCACTTAGCTTCTCACACTCTACTATGGTTTAAATTTTGTCACAAAATTCATCAACAGTGCACCAAATATACAATAGTTTTAAGGGTTTTATCGCAACATATATGTTTTGTACATTATCTTAATATTATTTAAGCATGTATTTCGTCAAGATATATTCAAAACAAGTACGGAGTAATAATAATCAAATCTTCACTTGTACGTGATACAAAATATATGACGTGAATATTAAATTAAATGTTGACAAGATTTTTTATACAACAACAACAATAGATTAAGTTAGGATGAATCAATTAAGTAATGATGTGGACATATTATATTGCAAATTAATCGTTGACACTATCAAAAAATACATAAACTTGGGTAGACCTAAAACGGATTATATTCTACTATAACAAAAAGATAGGGTTTTCTACTAAATCAAATAAGTAATGAGAGGATATGGGTTAAATCCGATAGGGGTATTGATTCTTTGTGTTTCAATATGTTAAGAAAGTAACTATGAACAGATATTACATTGTAAGTAATACTCAAAAAATTGCCAAAAGCATCTTGTACTCAGATGACACATTGTGGCTCTCCTTGAAGAAATGTCACAAGATCAAACCGGGACATTGACTCTTTAGGCTCCAACAGACAGAAAAAATATAGAATAGATACTACCTTATAATAGAACTAATACTACTCAAAAAAAAATTAATATCTTCATTTAACTAATAAATATTACATTCTTATTATATATCATGCTAAATCACCAAGATCTTGAACACTGATGACCGGCAATTGCTTTTCATCTTATGTTTGTTTTTAGGATGAACATAAATGGCAAAAAAAAAAAAAAAAAAAAAAAAACTGAGAAATTACAGAATCCCATAAAATAAAATAAACTAATTCCATCATTTCTTTTCTTTGTCGTCTTTGTCGACAACCTTGTTTTGGACACGCCCATCAGTTCCGGCCATGATCATGTACTTGTCCTTCCTCGTCAGACTGGTGCACTCGAACCCCAGCGTCCCGCCCAGCACCTTCTGGATGTAATTGGCGACCTCGATCGCCGATTTTCCGGCGCGGCAGGTGAGCTCCGGCGGGAGCTGGTCCAAGAATGTGATCTCGTACGTCGGCCGAGGATTCATGAACACGAAATACGGGTCCAGAAGTTTGTGTCCTCGGACGGTGGTCCCGTAAAACACGCTCTGTTTGGTATTAATGGCCACCGGCACGATCCTGTCCGTGAGTTCCGCGAAAAGGGCACTGAACCTTAGCAAAAACGGCTCTCTGCAAGTTGTCCCCTCCGGGCATATCACCAAGTCGCCTTCTTGAAGCAACTGCTTGATATGAGCGGCGTCTTTGTCTCTCTCACGGGACAAAGCGACGGCCTTGATCGGCGAGATTAGCTCCGAGAATTTGCTTATACTGTACGTCACGCAGCTGATCTTCCGGCCTAGCGCCACCGCCGTGACGACCGGGTCTAGGACGGTGCGGTGGTTGCAGACGAAGAGGACCCCGGATTGGCCTTCCTTGGGGGGCGGCGGGGGAGTTCCCTTGACGATCAGTTTGATCCCGAGGATCATGTATGTGTACCGGACAATCCTTTCCGGTAACGGAATGTTGAGGTACACCCTAATGATGGACAGAATTATTCCGACCGGCATCCATAGGAACGTCAAGAGGGCCACGACCGGCGTCGGCCTTTGTACCAGACGGCCGTCGTGGAAGATGACGGGGCTTAGGAGATGTTTTGTGGGCAACGGCTCGCATTTGGTTCTTGGGACCATGTATCCTTCCTGCATGAGTTAACGAACGTGAGTACGTACGATAGATATGGTTTTGTGATATTTAATTATTTTTCCTTTTTTTTTTTAGTGACCAGGGAAATTCAGTATGATGGGTACTGAGTAAACACTATCTTGTGACCATTAGTAAAGAATCACAAGTAAACCAATTTAAGTCACACATAGTTGACCAGTTCAAATCAAGAAGGTCTACCCCTCCTCCTAAAATCAAACTTGTAATATCGTAGCTACTAAACTAACGGTTTGACTAATTTAGTTGTGATTACCATTATTTTCTCATCTTTAATTAATTTAGAGGTGCATGTTTTGTGAGAGGGTGGTTGGAAGCTAAGTGGAACATGCGTATTGGCTGCCTAAATTTGTACCCATTGGTCATATGAATTTCATTTCATAACCCAAAGTGAAAAAGTTACATTTTTTTGATGTGAACAGAAACCCACAACCATTATCTAAATGTGTATATGAGCATGTAAATTTTGCATTGAGATGTAAATTAATTTAAGTTATTCATAATTGATGGGTCAATTCAAGACCGTCAATAAGTAGCTCGTGATTACCAAGTCAGCCTGTTTGACCAACTTGGTTATAGTTGTCCTAATTTTAAAATATAGTGCTATTAAAAATAGAGGTTTAATTACTTAAATGGTTACCTTACAAATGGACATGAAGTCGTGGTCTGTTTCACGGTCACCGAGACCTAAATCCGGCACGTTGGTTCCGAACTCCTTAAGGATGGCGACCTTCTTGTTATCTCCGACGAGAACGCCGGGTTTCTTCACAAGGCCCGTGGCACGCCCGGATTTCGACACATCCAATTCCGTTCCAAGAACCTTATCGGCGCCGAGAAAGGTCTTGGCGAAGTGCTCCACCATAATCCTAGGATTGGCAGTGATGATATACCTTTTCCGGCAAGAATTGAACACCTTCCAAGTCTTCGGATTGACGTCCTCGGAGTAGAACTTGGGCAAGACGGCCCTGGACACAATCTCAATGTCTTTGATCTTGAGCCCCGCAAAGGCGATGAAGATGAAGGTTTGGATGGCCATGGATTCCGACACGAATATGTAAAAGAAGTAGACAAATGGAACCGACGTTAACAGGAGAATCGCCCGGAAAACGCTGCCGGCTTCCAAGGCGACAAGCAAGAAGTAAGGAAATGCGCTCCTTGAGAGCAGAAGGGTGCCGTCTAAATCAGCCGCCACCGTTTGGTTTGATCTCCCCTCCGTCTTGCATTTTGAGATGGGTTCAAAATGGGGATGGGCACCCATCTTGCAGGGATACGGTGTTTTTTTGTTGGCCTGGCTTTAATGTTGTGTTGTGTGATTTGTGTGTGTTATGGTGTATGGAGGGAGGAAGGGGGTTTAAAAAGGAATGAGAATGATGGCAATGTAATGCAATTATTGTTGCATACAAGTCTTGCAATGAAGATTTCGTGTTACTCATGCTAATTATAATTATTATTATATTGTTAATAACAAATCAGACATGTTCCACAATAGATATATATTAAACGTAATAACGAATTTTATTTCTTAGTAGGTCGCACATGCCAATACTTGAGGGTGTTTACTGCGTAAATTTCGAACGCTTGGTGACCCTAGCCAACAAACAATCACAATTAGGTAAACCAATCTAAGTTACGTTGATCGCCTCATATTTTGAGTGCACCCCGCTGCTCGCTCTGTAACCATAGCCGACAAAGGACCAGAATGAGGTAAACCAGTCGCTCAACTCATATCTTGAGTGACGTGGATAAATCCCACTGGCCGCCCTGTGATCCTAGCTAGTAAAGAACCACAAGGAGTTAAACCAGTTGCTAATCGGTTCATATTTTAAGTGTTAAGGACCACAAAAAGGTAAACAAGTTGTTGTTCAACTCATATTTTGAGTGACGTAGGTAAACCCTGCCACCCGCCTAACCCTAATTGATAAAGGATCACAAGGATACTAGACTAGGTTATTTGTTGATGGCTGGTTCAAACCAAGAAAATCAATAAGCTACTCCCACTGAGAGTCAAACTTAAAATCTTATGATTGCCAAGTCAATAGCTTGACCAACTTGGTTTGATTGTCTAATCAATACATATATGTTTCTCATTATTTTTAAGTGCATTTTTTTCTTGTTCACTAGAAATTACCATGATCTTAAAAATAACATCTACGAGATTGTAGTTTGATGAAGTCAAAGTAGATGAATCCAAACCACCATTTAACTTGTTCAATTTTTTGTCTTTTTGAGCAATTTTCCAAGGGGAGGTTGGAAAGCTAGAAAGGGGGTGGGTGGTTGTACACATACAAAATATAAGGCTATTTCTCTTTGATACATAAATTATTGCAGTTGGACGGGACAAAGTAGTTGAAGGTCCACAGCAAATGGCTGTTAACATTCAATTAGCCTACTTTTTAGTTCTTACATTGCCGCCCGACCCTCTTCTATAATGTTTTTTCAAACATGCATCTTTTATCTCTTTCACCCTTGCCTAAATCTCTCCATTCCTTTTTATTTATTTATTTATTCATATTATACTAGATGACGATGACAATTATTATCATTTTATGCTCTATATCATATAATTTTTTTGTATTAATGATTAAATACAAATGTTCTCCATTTGATGATACAGAAATCATACATAAAAAATAAATTAAAAAAATTACATACTTAATATAAACTCGATATTACTTCTAATGAGCGTTGAGCTTTGTGGATATCATATAAAGTTCACCCTATAGTTTGGCCAAGTAGAAAATTTTAGGTTAAAAAAATGAAAATGTTAGCCAATATTAGGGTCTATGTATTGATGCCACCAAAAGTGAAAATAAATAATGGCTAAATTCATAGTATTCATTGAAGTCTATCCTCAATAATGCATATTGATGGCTAAATAATTATTTGCTTTTGATTGCACCTTATAGTTTAGGAAAAGTTTATTACATCTCGAATTATAGTGTACCTAAAAAAATAAATAAGCAAATAAATTCAAAGCTGGCATTGCATTCATTTAGACAGTTTGTCACCAAATTATTGATATACTTTTTTATTCTTTACCATGCTACATTTTATTACAGTGAACTTCTACAGTTTTGGTATAGTTGCTAAGAACACTAATATTACAATTACAAGGTCAAATGATTTTTTTTTTTTACATGTGTGCTATCTTAAAGAGTTCTAAACCAAATTTATTTATTACGATAATATAATTTAAATTACAATGTCATGCTATACGTTGTGTCGCTATTAAAAAAAAAAAAAAGAAAAAAAAAAAGTGCAGGGCGGTGTGAGCATGCAGCAGGATAAGGTGAGATTTTCATCAGTTTTCATCTTTTCTTACTTATTCTACAGAGCAGTTTGGAGAAATCGAGTAAGGGGATCCCCTTGTACGGGGAGGGGTTTGTTCAATAAATTTTATATCGTAACATCGTGTTTTCAAAGTATAGATATACGTCTGGAGAAAAACAAAGATTCCTTGGAAAACAATCTTTATTCTCTTCAATTTCTGGTACACTTGTTTTTAGATTTAAATTTATGTTTGCCCATCAAATGAATAGAATTTTTGTTTTTTATTTGGGTGGTTGGGGAAGGGGAGAGAAAAAAGAAATACACTATGTCAATCCTCTAAAAGAATGCAATGAACGTAGAAAGGAAGATGGTTCTCCGTTCAGTGCTCATGATCAATAATTTGTGATTTTTAGTCATTCTAAATTATATGTACTCAATATATATATGGGGAAGGGATCAGGTGCATTTGAGGCTTCCTGTGCAGTTGTGTGAGTGAATGCACGTTAAGTATTAATCTGACGCACTTAAAGTACACAACACACGCACATTAAACACACAAACCTCACGCATGTCAATCACAAAAACACACGCACCTTAAGTTTTAAAAAACAACTCACATTAAGTACACACTCATGCACATTAAGTACAAAACTCGCGCACATTAAGCATAAAACTCATGCACTTTAAAGTTTCAACAACAACTCACATTAAGTACACACTCACGCACATTAAGCACAAAACTCACGCACCTTAGGCATAATACTCACACACCTTAAGTACAAAACTCACGCACATTAACATTACACATTCACGCACATTAAGTACAAATCTCAGGCACATTAAGCACAAGACTCACGCACATTAAGTACAAAACTCACGCACATTAATCAACCGCACAACCGCACAACCGCACGGGAAGTACTCAACCGCACTGGAACCTTTATATATATATATATATAACGAAAAAAATGAACAATTTCTTGTTAATTGTGATCGGATAAGAGAGTTAGATCGATTATAATTAATACCGTACCCCAACTAGTAAATAGGTGAATATTATAATATTCAAGACAGAATACCCGCATCATGTCCCATTAAAAGGTTGAACACAACTTACACAAGCAAAGGTTTTGCAAACATTGTAAGTTTCTAAATCTAGGTTAGAAAACCAGAAAACAAACAACAAAAATAAATAATATAATAATGTACCGGTTTTGAAATAGAATGTGTGCGGTAAGAATAAGATTAGCTAAGCCAACAGATTCAAAAACCTTAGTCGCTCAAAGAACAGACAGTCTCTAAACGATTCGTGGAAAAATATGCTTTCGTGTTCTAAGTCTCAACGTAAAATGCCAGTTGTGCATACCAAACAGAATAACTTGATCCCCACACTAGTTAACAAAGATTCATTAACAATTAATTCCAATAACTTGTGTCGGAATTTGATCCGATCCACTACTATACCTGCCGTCATTTTAATATCTTATGCAAATTTTCTTATGAAATATAATGCATTATATATAGGAAAACTTTTATCCTTGAGATTCACTATGGTATCTATAATATTTGGTAAAATAATATGTAAATTGTATACGATTGTGCTGAGTATTATTCGTAATGATTTTCAATAATACTTTATACAATTATGTATGGTATACAGTTATATATGTACATTATTAGCCGTCTTCTCGTCAACTATTTCAAGCTTTTGGGTTAAAAAAATTATGATTTCTAATATTACCCAAAAGAATTTTCTTTTTTACTACAAGAAAAATCAAAATTTTAAATTACAAAGATCGTCAATATTTTTGTTGTTGACGGATTTATGTTAACAAATTAAAACACCAAAATTCATAGATATTTAAATACAACTATTTAATCTATTACTAACTGCGTTTGTATTTTGTTGTTTTTTCATGTAGTGTTTGAATAAAATAAGTGGAGGTTTCTTGTTGCATCCGACCCAATCTCAATCATATCCAGAAAAAAAAAAAAAGAATTTAAAAAAGGAAAATAAATGCATTAGTAGTAACAATGACGCATATTAAAAGTATATGCTTTCAAATTAAAATCATATCATATAACCTAATTAAACAAGCTTTATTAAATGAGATATATTATATATTATATGTGAACCGTATACGCCAAGTCGCCAATCCATAACGAGAGCGAAAGAAGTTTGTATAAACAGGAAATGTGTCGATTGTCATCATCGGTTGACTCACCTACTTAAGCGGCTTGTCTCTACAATGCAAATTTCTCCAAAATCTAAATCATAATTGCTATTAACTATATAATTTATAAACGTTTTTTATATTCGATATTGAATAATCATATTAAATTTTAATTAATCTAGAAGTGGATTTGTTGTTAGACCTATTTATATAACTCTCTTAATGAGTATTGATGAAATTAGGACACTCGAATTATGGAGAATCAAAGCAATAACGAAGAGTGATGTAACCGAGATACTATTACTCTATTAGTACCTTCAAGTCAATAAAAAAAATGTCTCTCATGACAAGTTATGAAGATAAAATTCTTATTTAAAGTCTATTATAACTTATTAGCCTTAGAGATTTCACCTGTCAATATGGCCAACTTAACCCTTTTTTTTTAAACCGAGTTGGAGATTTGTAACCTAACATTTTAATGAGCTAGAGCAAAACTCACTTTTCAAAATCATATATACATTCAAAAAGTACTAAAATAATATTATATACAAATATTAAAAAAAAATAAAAAATTGTGCATTCATCAAGTTTTTAAAAAATCACAAAACACTACATTTACATTAGGAAAGGAAAAGAAAAGGGTTTAAAATTTGAAAGTTTTAAAATTTTAATTTTAATAAAACATGTAAGTATAGTGGGTAACATATGTATTAGATAGATTCAACCCGATAACTTGTACATGTCATACGAGTTAGACTAAAATTTTTTATGCCAACCATACTGTCTAAAATACGAGTTAAACAAAGTCAATATGTTGGGGTAGGCCTGTATTAACAACTCTACTAGCTTAGACTCTAACTAAACATGTAGATTCTTTATTAGATTCTACTTTCATCCTTTT